TTAAAAAAAAACTTTTCAATTTTCAGCGAAAATAATCAACTATTGTCTGCAACCTAAATCATACATCTGATTGTCCACGCTGCGCTTAAACCAGTAAAGCATCCATATTTAATAAGCACTATCTGACGCTTCTTTGAGCAACAATATGCATGGGAATTAATAAAAGCTCAACCAAGGTACGATGACGAGTCACTACTAATATGGTGACACCTGTCTCTATAGCGAATCGAACCCCCCCAAATCAAAGTTACAGTGTCTACGAGCATTCTTCAATACAGCACATCAGACTTTACATTTTCGTTGCAAAACCACATCTATTCCAAGTACATAAGATGCTACAGTTAAGCTTGATGTGCAATGGTGCAGGGCGTGCGCAGGCGTGCGTGACGCACAGGTGGCGCGCACCTGACCCGTGGCTTATTGGACCTGCAATTAGCAGCCGATCACCCCCTCACTAGTCCCACCTGCGGGCTTACTCGTGGAAACTGCCCCATCAGTCTTCCTACTTCCAAAGGTAACGCTAACATAGGTCTCTCATACTGAGGAACCCTATAAACTAAAGGCTTCTCGGAAACTAATATGACTACAGAGTCAATTCTACTCTCATTTTGTAGTAAATATAGTCTTCTGTATAAGTGCCATAAGTGGGCACTATAAAAAACTAGTTCTCTAGGCTCTAGGGTGTAAATAGCCAGAATAAAAAAAAAATACGAATTTGCGGCGCCCGAGGTCACAAACTTGGATAATTCACTAGTTAACATCATAAACAAGCTTCCAAAAGCCGTAAATTACCTATACATCAAAGGTAGTAAGTTATCAGAATGATTTCCATTGAAATTATGGAGCATACCTAACCTGATTATTTTATCTCTATACTTGATTTTCTTTGCCCTATAAGTATATTAGGTCCATTACAAACAAATCAAAAACCTTTCGTCTACGAAATGCCAATGCCACAATAACCATTATGTTACGATTACCTTGCTTCTAGTGTTAGTGTATTTTTATGGCACGAGTACGATAATATTATTTGACAAACATTTCGTGGATACCTAGACCTTTTTTGTGCCTGGCTAGACTATGCTAGCTAAATGTCAGATAAACAATGGATAAGCCTATAGCGCATAATAAAGCCAAATATCAGCCATCGGAGTCTTTTGACAACATCTATACAGTCTTCTGAAATGGACGGTAGAGTAGAGTACACCTTTGTCAAAGATTAATTACGTGCACAAGGAAAAACAGTACTGTAAGTATTTATTGAAAAAGAGGCTGACAAAGGTGACTGAGTTTCTTCCGCCACTTCTTCTCAGCTTCAGCCCATATGTTGTCCCGAAGTGGTGGTAGGGCAAGCTATATTTGGGACGTGTATAAGTGCCCTTGTAGCAAACGCACCACGATTAAAAGGCGATTGGTGGCTTCCTGCTACACCTGGATCAAACCGTAGAAGGCTTGCCGGTAAAAAGGGATCGATGTTCTGTACGAGCAGTACGCAATGACAAAATACTATGCACTCACGTACCTTGAGCAGATCGTTGACAGTTCCACCTCGAGTATGGGCATCAGCAGTTGGGAATTCCTTGGGTTTCTAGCACATTTGGGCGTGTAGATGATGAGGTAAGTTGAGATCACATGGGAGGGTGACTAGCACACGCGTCGACGGGCCCGTTAGATTCGAATTGAAGATGGCGATGTGACCGGTGCGGCCTCCAAAGCGTGACTGCCCTCAAGTTGTCAATAAAAATCCAACTCGAAGGACGGAGCGCATAAGCAGCCTAGTTTGACTGCGTTTTGTCACTACATTGATACTTATGCAGAGACATCGATACCCGCGATTATTATGAAAGTTAAACGAAAAGTTACGATGACGGAACAGCCCTAGTAAGGGCCTATGTACTGAATAAACTATTTGAATTATAGTTAGAAAATCATGGACATTCACTCGTATTTATCTTTTCGTTATCTAGTCATCATAAAACAAGCACTGCTTTGAATTGTACTTCCTAACGAACCCAATCATGCGGGTCTTCTGTACCCAACTCCATTATGCAAACCCTAAAATACTGTAGCCAGCTCGCTTTATACCACAAAACCAAGAGGCCCCATAAAGTACGCATAAACTAAAGAACGGCGTATTTACGACAATGTTGGTAAAGCGCTTTCTTTGCTGAGTTATAGTTACTGCAGCACAAGCGTTCCCGACACGAAAGCTAATAACCAAATAACTATTTTAATCTTGATTATTTAAGTTATACAAAGTTAGATTATGTAAACAACATTGATAAAAAATATAAGTCTACCATGAAAAGTATTTTCATAAAAATCGTCAAAAGGAAAAACTAAAACAAATCATATGTATTTATTTTAGAAAAATATGATTGTAAGCTACACGTAAAGTTTTCAGCTTTCTGAAACACAAAAATAAATATGAATAATAAACCCCTTTTTCCACGTATTAATGTTCCATGAAAATATTGAAAATGCAATTCATTTTCAGCTTCAGAGCACTATTTATTGTATAATTTTTGCGGTTGAAACACACCATAAGAAGTAATCCTCATGATAGCGCCATAAAACAACGTAAAGGAAATAACCACACTAACTTGTATCTTATGCCTAACATGTCGGCAGACAGAATTAATGTAAAATAAATTTAATTATGTACCATTAAGTAACATAATGATAATATTTACAATATGTGCATTACTGTTGTGCTTATAAATAAATGACGGGGATTTCCATGAAAATCTTATGCGTTGAGTAGCTACGTGAGAGCAGTCATGTAGACCACTGAAGTGGGGTTTTACAAAGTCAGTAATTAGAGGGTCGTGCTCAAATTCAAATTCTTTATTTGCAATAAATAGGCTCCTACAGTAGTTGTTGGAGCGAGATCAAATGCGAAGCTCAAGACCGAAAGCAATGGAGGACTGTTGTGGACGCGCTATCCCATCGAGGGGCCGGAAGAGACTAACAAATGATCTGATGATTCGTAAAAATTGAGAAGCGATTTATGGGTTGTAGCCTGTTGTAGCAAAGAAATATTAGATGGGATTGCTTAAAAATCAGCTTTTGTTTTAGAAAATCAAATACTTTCAGCCTATATGATGTCCCAAACTAGGAAATCAAGGTATCTTACGCGATTATTATAAGATCAATTGATTGAAACTTAACTACATTGTCTATAGTTATTACAATATGTACTCTGAAAGGTTTTCATTATACCTACTAAATATATGAGTGTTAATTATTCGAAATAACAAGCAAATAACGACAAACATCAAGGCCCTGAGGTCAGGGGCCGCTTATTAGGCACACGTAGCACACTCAAATGTGTTATTGGGTAGGTTATTAAACGAGTCATAAACAAAACTAATGTTATTTTTACGAAAACTTAGAGCTTAATTAATTATAGTCTTAAATAAGGGTAGAGTTTCACATTGTAACGATATTGTGGTCTGTTTATGAAACTAATGCTAATTGCTAATAATGCTACATCAATGGCACTCTAACTTAATAGGTTACCTATGATAATGTATTGAAATTGTTTTAAAAACTTCTTCAATTGAGATGACAACACTGATGTCAGTGAATGAAAGCATGGAATCTTATTTCTGTTTTCAGAAGTCGGTTGTTGCCCAAAGTGATTTCACCCTATATTTGAACCCCACCTGGGAATTAAACCCAGAATCATCAAGAAATTAAAAAAATAATAATTAAATTGCCAAAACTTTATTAAAGGTAATCAACAAACTATCTATTCTTTCAGCTTTCTTATCAAGAGCCCTTTTGAATATGATTGAATAAGTGATGTCTTTACTACGAACAGGTACTCGTAGATGCGATTGTTGACGGCAGACGGTAATAAAAAATTAAATTAAATAAAAAACATGAACATAACTTGTCACTTTACAAAATGTAAACCTCCAATGATTGCAATCTACGGACAATGACCATTCACCACTTAGCAAGAACGATTTCTTAAAACACTGTATTGAGTGAAGATTCAAACTTGCTTGTAGGTAATTACATAATTCGGGTCTGAAAGTTTACATTTCAGACGTTCAGTGCTAAAATTTCGTTTATAATGGTTTTAAATTACTCTTAAGATTAAAGGTAGTAGGTGTATTGTCATGATGTAGGTAATTCTGAAAAATTAGTATGAAGAAGTTTCAGAAAAAGCAAATTTAATTCAAAATGTTAAATGCAAGTAGCATATGTTTAGCAAATCTAATTATATAAATATGTGAAAGAAGACGGGACGATTAGTGTAAAGGCTCATTTACACTGCGCGGAAATTAGCCAAATCAAGTCAAAAAGACAGTGGGGTGGAGATGAAAAATGAACGATTTTCGCCAAATGACCCTGATTGATCTGCCTCTATTACGCCTATGTAAAACAAAGCTCATCCGAAATATCGATAAGCTATCTATAGTGTTGTCGCCAGTCGATACCGTAGCGACACGTCGCGCAGGTGAGCGCGCGTAATGGATTGTCCGCGCGCGTGACCGCCGCAACTGTAACCGCGCGCTCGATCACGATCCGAGCCGATTCCGTAATCGATAGAAATACGTTTTGGAAATGTCGAGCGACTTAATACGTTAACACACATTTGGATTTGTATATGGCCTTACACAGCGCCTGGGCCTACCACAGCGGCGCAGCAAAAACAGCTTAAAATTACTTGATACTTCCTCCTAGATTATTCTTATACTACATATTATTATCTGAATTGATTTTCTATCAAGTCACTCCGGCTGAAATGATCGAAAGGTACCGAAAGAAATAGCATTGAAAAAATTCAATAAAAAACATTATAGCGAAGATTTGAGACTCGTTCATACCCAAGATTTGTAATTGGCCACAAATGTAACAAATAAACAGCCTACCTTTAAGTGGGTAGATATAATTTCTGACAAAGTACCGTAAAATCAACAACGAGAATAAAAATCCAAAAATTTAAAGAAAAAAGTAGGTAAAAGCTGTTAAAGACTTACCTGAGTTCAGGATATCTTCGACTGCTTTTCGCTGCGATTTCCTTTCTTTTAAAAGCGCAGCTCCGCTTCGACACCCGGCGGCAAGTGGCTTCAAGTTGCAACATTTCACCTGGGATAGAAAATATGCAATTTTGAAACAACCCAAATTCACTAACTTGAAGAATAAACACATTAGTTTACTTTACCCGCATACGAATATCAAAATACTATCTACATCTATAGACAAAAAAAAACTTACCAAAATACAGATAACGACGGCTGCTTTTCAATGCAATTTCACGATTTCTCTTCTTATAGAAACGCAGCTACACTACGACGCAGGTGGCAGTCACCTTCAAGATCCAAACGATTCACCTAGAATTTGGAAAAATACAATTTTAAAAACAACTTCACTTTTGAATAAGCTACCTTCAGGGAAAATGCAATCCAATTTTACCGATACATACACTATTTTACTAGCACCCATCTACTAGGACCTATGCAACTAATTGACTTCTGAAATGTACCGTGAAAACTTGCTGGTGTTTTAATTTTCTTAATAGGTACGTTTGGTGAAAAATAAATTCGACACTGCAAAAAGCTATACTTTTTACTGCTCACAAAGAATAATTTCTTAATATCTTGTAACAAAATAAAAGTTCCCTTACCTTTACTTGCTCCAAAATTCCTCAGCAAACTCGATCGGTGCCCGAATACGCCGCAATGACCGCGGCGCCTACTAGCGACAAGTATTTCACAAACCCGGCTGCATCGGTACATTACTCGTCACACCTATCATCGCGACGACTCATCGACCTACAAAACACAACAACAAAAACACTACTTGGAAAACGGCAGGACATTTCACACGATCAAAGTTTTTGGAAAATAAAATGAGCGTACGCAAGCGTCTTCGTAGCACAAAATTCGTAAAGTTCTTTTGGACGCTACCTTCGATTTTCAAATATCTACGAGCCCGCATGTGTCTATGGTTTTTTGCTTTTTAATTTACGATCTCATTTACTTTTACAGTTTTAACAAATTTTACCAACCTAATGTTTTTTTAATTTGAATTTTAAACAAATCAGTTAATTAAATAAATAATTATTTACAAAATAAAAATCTAACTCAAACTTTTATAATTACGAAGTTTTTTTAGGCAAAGGAAATAAAAATTATACAGCTTCAAGAGAACATCAGTTCCATTTTTAAATTTAATAAAAAGTGATGAACCAGTGTACATTTCCATTTCCTGATATAACAGCTCTGGGTTCTGATTTTTGAGCCGAATGCTATTCATACACCGAGTGGTGACCACAAGGGCTCGAGTTACCTCTAAGGGCTGCACATCGATATCGATTTAACACTTTTTTCTTTGTTTCGCTTACTTTGTTAACTGCATTATCAAACAATTACTTCAATAGCACGTAATCTAAGGCTATAAGGATTAGAATTGTGCGTAGATTAATACAAACATTCTGGGAATAATTCAACAATAATATCATTCGTTGCGCGATCGATGATTCAAGCTAAAATCATACATATTTATCGCGTCTTTGTTACATAATTTACAGCACAATAATAAACCAGGATTTAGGTTAAAAATTTATGACAAGCCTATTCGAATGTATCGCACAAGAAAAAAATACACTGATGTAGGTATGTTATTTTATAGCAGTAGAAGAAGAAGAAGACTGGCTCTTCTATTAAACTCGTAAGTCTATCTATCTGAAATTCATTCTCAAATAATTGTTTTACCCACTATACAAAAAATTGAGAAAAAACTTCTTCTCCAGTGTGGACCATAGAGCAGAATGTACAATCCGCAAAATGATTTAATTATTCAATTTACATTGATCGTAATTCGTATGCATCGTGTGTTTTTTTACGTAACATGTATTTATTTACTTATTTCATCATGATCATCATCATCATCTCAGCCATAGGACGTCCACTGCTGAACATAGGCCTCCTACAATGCTTTCCTTGGTGCCCGGTTGGTATAGCGGCCTGCATCTAGCGCTTTCCTGCTACTTTTATGATGTCGTCGGTCCACCACTTACATATTTTACTCTTAGTTTACTTATTTATTAGGAGTATAAATTAAGACAAGAGCCAAGACAACAAGGCGTTACATTACAAGTCACCTGCATACATTTCCCTAAAGTTCTCTCGCACCGGACAGACCAAAGTCCGCATACCACGCATAGTGTCGCGAATTCCGAACGTGTCACCCGTTTAATGACACACAGTCCTAACTGCACCACTCAATGTACTCAGATAGAACTCTGTACGACCACGCGTGTTGCACCGGCAAGGACGTTCGGAAATGAATCAGAAACATTTTGACAGATCGCGGGAAACTCTGCAGTTTTAGCGGGAAAAACTTTTGCGCCAGCGTGACTCAAAAATGCAGGTGAGTCTTGGCAGCCATTTTTGGCGTGACGTCTTGAAATAAAAATTGTGGGTGAGAAGAACTCGAGTGACGCGGATTGATTCATCATGACCTGATTATTTCTTCCGCGTAGTCCGGGTTTAATAGATTTCAAACACGATCGTAATACGCCATATTGTTTATTTCTAGACTAAATAAATAATAAACTCACTTTATTAAAATTTTAACAAGATTCGTAGGCTTGTGTAAGACCTATTATTTTTATGCTACCTCCCTGTATTACATACAATATAAGCTGTATGTTTTCCTAATAAAGAAAAAAAAAGATAATTGCATCTTCTGGACAAGCCTCATCATAGATGGATAGCATCTGCTTCGGATTTCATAGGTTCAAATTAAATAATTAGGCATGAACTTGCATACTCTAGCTAAACATCTTAACAACGAATTCTAGAGCGAAAATTAGCCTAATTGCAGTTCGTAAGTGCATCTTGCTACAATGACACGCGCGGGGGCGGGCGCGCTGAAATGGCAAATATAATCGCGCGCGCGGCGCCGGCGCATCTGCGGGTAATTGCCGCTTTCGGACACAGATGTCGCTGGAAGCTGCGGCTCTTGGGCTAGGATAAGAATAAATGGTGGCTAATTAAAATGGTACTTAACTACTTAAGTCGCTACTTTTGGTCTATGGTGTCGGTCTTCTTTCGTAAGGGATGTGTACATTCTGGGTCATAATCGCCACGTAGCTCAATCAATATCCTCCAACTCCATCTAAAAAAATCGGATTTATCTTTCTTATAGACCAGGAGACGTCTGCATTGTTATGAACAAGCTGAAATCACAACTCAGTGTTCTTTCCACTTCGCCTATCCTAGGATCTCCCACTCACCGTCGATTTTATGTAAAAGAAAGACAGGTTGGTTAAGAACATGGAAATTGTATCTACCCACCATTTTGGAAGAATATTCGCTACTTCGCAGCTCTGCTAGAATCTTCGCACGGCCTCGCCTCCCACAGGTCCAATTAAACAGACTCGCAATATAGTGACATGACCCTCAGCATTGAGGACGCTACTCCCGCGAACTCGATCAATAGCCACGGGTCCAGATGCGTCACCTGTCAGTGATAAGGATGTTACATGACGCCGGCAATCATGCAATAACGTGGCAATCATACAATCAGGACCTGCGCGTGCGCCGAGGCGCCGCTGGGAGCAGGCATCATCGCGCCTGATGCGCCACATCCTGTAAACAACTACAGGAAAAATCGGTCAATACATTTGAAGTAAGTGGACACGAGTAAATTGAATTTCATTAGGGAAAAATCCATCTAAAGGTATTTTCTCTGTCGGTCTATTTCTTTAGCAGTTATAGTTTATGAAGATTAGAAAGAAAATAAAACTTGAAGGGAGTGAAATAGGAAATTAAATCATGCTTGAACGAGAGACGCACGCGCAATATGACTTTCAGGGAAAGACTGAAAACCATTCAGGAGAAGCCTCGTGAAAAAGCTAAATAACTCTGAGTGACTAAATAGGTACATAGATTAGACAATTTATTTGCACACTGACTCAATACACGCTACTTCTACTAATCGTTCATGCAACACCCACTTACTTATCTAATAAAAACCCCTGAAGAATCACTTATTTGAATTACCTTATTTGTGTTTCTTGAATACCTCAAAGTACGTCACTAGACAACGAAGAATTGGATCCAGGGTCGAAAGTCCTACTTCCTAATAAGTTGGCGGTGCATTTTCCCTTAAACTGAGTTTATGAAATAAGTAAATATTGACGTTAATATCAGTGGTTATTCGTCACCAATATTCCGATTGGTCATTATTTTGTTAATACAATAACAATTTAACAACAACACCAACAATATTTTGACACATTTTCATATGTAAGTAATAAAGCATCAATACAATGCATTCAAGACATAAGATTTATGCTAAACAAATTTCAGAGGGAAATCGCATTTTTTTATTGTTTTTTCAACCTAAGGACTGTCCATTGCCAAATGAAGAATTCCTCATGGATTTCCATAGCAGTAGATTGGAAAATTCCTGGTGAATGTTATTATGTAATATATAAATAATAATTCAATTGTGCTGATCGCCGGCGCATCCTCCGCTCCGGCGCAACTAGGTAATCGGTTCAGGGAACTGCTCTCGCCAACTGGAACTGGCTGGAGTACATCCTACATCGTTAGCCAATAATAACATGCGTAGACGCATCTTCCTGGTTTACATTGTATGTTAAATGGTACCTAGAGTTTTTGAGATTTCTATTTGTATTCTAAGTCTTGAGTAGGTATGTACCGTACACGTAAAATTTGTTGAAGTTGTAGGTATGTTTGTTTCTCTTTCATGCACAGATTACTGTAAAAAACGCCTATTGTGAAAAGTTTTTACATTATACCACTGTCACGGTGGTTAAGGAAATCCTTTGGAGGCCTTTATGTCAGCAATGGACGTCATTTTTCTGAAACGAACGAACGAACTTCCACAGTCTCTTTAAACAAAACATTAGTTACAATCATTTTCTTCAGCTCTCTAATGTAAGTACATATTTATATACACCTAAGTATTAGCAAACCGAGTTGCACTACAGCATTGCGTATATCCTAATCACGAGGAAAACGGATCAGTGACGCAAGTGAGTGACAATATTTGCAATTACGAGGCCCTTATCGCGGCCTTACTCACTCGACTGTCATTACACTATAATCTATGTATCATTTCGTAACACATACCCTAGTAGCTGACCAACACCGATTACGTTTAAAGAAACCTTAATCGCAAGAAGTAACAGTTACGGAATGCTTAACTTCGTCGAAAACTTTACAAATCTTTCGAGTACTTACCTTAGTACTAGCTTATGATGTTCTAAAAGCTAAAAATTAAGTAGGTATGGTTTATGGTTTAAGACATTTATTTCTCTAAAAGAATTACATTCACTTACAAGAGAAATACAAAATTAACCTTAAAACTATAGATTATTTAAAGTTTATACAATTTTATTTGTTTACATTTTAATATTTTTTGCACGAAGCAGACGCGTACAATAGCAGTCACTCGAGTAGGTATTAATATATTGGCCATTCGTGGGTACACTAAGAAAACAGTAGTTATAATTCGTAACGACAGGTCCAATTACGTATCGTATTCTAGTTTCTATGAGAATGTTGTACTTAAGTCACTTTTTTTTTTTTAAGTTATTTTGATTTTATTTGCTTCGACCATTTTTAGTATTATTAAATTATCATTTTAACAGATTTAATTAAACTCCGAGAATTGGCTCATGAAATAAAGTTTAACCTTTTTTTTGAACGATAGGAATGATTTTGTGCCTTTGATGTCATTAGGTAATTTGTTATACAGTTTCGCCCCTTCATACAATACATTTTTCTTACCATAGTTTGTTCGGGGTCTTAACAATTGGATGTCATTGGGTTTTCGTAGGGAACGTTTTGAAAATTGTGATTTAATATTGAAGGATATTTGTGTATGAATATACTTTGCTAGTATTTTACGTACA